ACTGGGAGGCAGAGGTTGCAGTGAGCTGAGATCGCACCACTGCCCTCCAGTCTGGGTGACAGAGCGAGACTCCGTCTCAGGGAAAAAAAAAAAAAAATTAGCTGGGCATGATGGCGAGCACCTGTAATCCCAGCTACTCAGGAGGCTTTTTTTTTTTTTTTTTTTGTATTTTTAGTAGAGACAGAGTCTTGCCATGTTGTCCAGGCTGGTCTCAAACTCCTGAGCTCAAGCAATCTGCCTGCCTTGGCCTCCCAAAATGCTGGGATTACAGGCATGAGCCACCACGTCCGGCCCCAGCTGTACACTTCCAATGGGTGAACTGTATTGTGTATAAATCATATCTCAATAAAACTATTATGTATCTATTTAAAAGTAAAAAGAATGAGAAAGAATTGTCCCAAGTCTGCATATATCAGACACATTCCTTATTTTTGTTAACATACATGTACACCTGGACAGGCAGAGACCCACTCCCCCGATACATACATACTCATAGGAGAATCTTAGAATGATAGTGTTGTAAAGGACCTCAGAAGTCAAAAAATACCACCCTCTTCCATCCCTCTTTATCTCAGCATATTTTAGATAAGGCAAATGTCATACAGGGATTAATGGCATCCACTGACATTTTCACTTTCTATCTCTCTCGCTTGTCATTTTCCCAGAACACTATAGCTCTTTGGAAATTTATGTTGTCTAATTTTTTTCTGCATCCTTTGTGGCATACAGAACTATGCTAAGCACATAGCAGGCCCTTATAACACTGGTTTAATTGAATATGCTTCTCTGATATCCCTGAGGAAAAAGGGGTCTCTAAGAGGAGGTAGCTAAAGGATGAGAAAACAGTAGGTCAAATCTAGCCCATTTCATCCTACCTCCAAAGATAGACTCAAAGAACGTCAGAACTGGCAGAGGAAGAAAGCATTCATAGAAAACCTACCCTGTTGGCAGCATGTTCACTGAAAGCCCGAATCACAGAAGTGACTAAAGTCCAGGGATGTGTCCAAGGTCATCATTGGTGAGGTCAGAGGTAGGGTCCAGCCCTGAGTGTTCTGATGCCCGACCCCACAGTCCTCTGTGATCTCACCTTACTTTTTTTTTTTTTTTTTTTGGTGGGACAGAGTCTGTCTCTGTCGCACAGGCTAGAGTGCAGTGGTGTGATCTCTGCTTATTGCAACCTCAGCCTTCCGGGTTCAAGAGATTCTCCTGCCTTAGCCTCCCAAGTAGCTGGGACTACAGGCGCCTGCCACCACACCTGGCTAATTTTTGTATTTTTGTTTGTTTGTTTGAGACGGAGTCTCACTCTGTCTCCCAGGCTGCAGTGCAGTGGCACGATCTTGGTTCAC